CATGGAAACATTGATAAAATTTGATGTCTTATTTATTTTAAATTACAGTAATGCTATTGTTGTTGTAACAAAATTATTATATATTGTTGTTGTGGTGGAAAAATTAAAACAACAATATTAATAACTGAAATTGACATTGGATCGAAATTGTTATTGGATTCAAGAGTAAGCTTACTGATGGTTATCAGATAGACAATTATTAGATATATCATTTATTACAGCCTATACTGCCATAGTAACCGAGAGAGCATTATGTCAGATATTTCTTTTTTCAACCAACTTATAAGGTAACTTTTTGAAAGTTACCTTAGAACTGTTTTTAGGAGAACAGATTTTGATGATTCTTTTTTATTTTATTATTTCGCGGCTGGTGTTTTCTCATGCATAGCAAGAGTCGCTATTTATTTAAATTTTATGGAGTGAATTTTCTGTGCCCAATGTATTCTGTATAAAATTTGCCACAAAGAGAATATGTCCAGTAAAGTGAAAATCCTCAAATTAAAAGAAATACCTTAACCTTGTACTAGATTTTCTGAAAGAGGCATTACTGACAAAAGGAAAAACATAATTCAAAACCTGTGTCCGTTAATGCCTGCTAATTGCAGACTTTTTTGGGAAAATTTGTGTTAATAATAATGTTGAAAATTTAGCAAACGAGGAATAAGGCACAGAAAATTATATACTGTAATTAAATGATAATAGATATGATCGGTGAATAAGTTGGTATAATCTCCCAGGTAACACTGATTCTAAAAGTTGACTTATCAGTGATTCTTAATTATATTTAAGTATTGTTTTTCATTAAGGTGCCTTTTGTAGAAGTCCTTTTGAAACAATTTTATGTTAAAAAGCTTTTTCATGTTGTTTGTAAGTTAATGAGAATAATTTTGTGCCAAATAACACTATAATTATAAACATTATAATTTTTGATCTCTATAATTAAGTCTTTAAGTTTTGCTAAGAAGTATATTTTTAGAGAGGTTTTCTATTTTTAAGAATTGTTATGGCAAATAATAAGAATCAATATGTGATTTTTAATAACTGAGTTTTATAAATAAAACATGTAAGTTAACTACATTTTATGCTCATCATGTTCTAATAAAATATAAAAATGCTACTTTTAAAAGCAATAACATCCTTTACTGTGCAATGAATTAATTTAAAAAAATTAAAACCTTAGTGAAAGGGTCTAATAAAATATAAAAATGCTACTTTTAAAAGCAATAACATCCTTTACTGTGCAATGAATTAATTAAAAAAAATTAAAACCTTAGTGAAAGGGTAGTATTGTACTAACTACTGTTTTACATAGCTATTTAAGTGTATTACCATTTTTTCAAAACCCCCTTTCCTGACTTACTGCCCCGTCTGCATCCACATGAGCAGCCTTCAACATCACAGACAGATGTTAATGAAGTTATAGTATATAAGAATAGAATACCATAGAATCATTTTTAACGTATAGATTACATGTAATTCTTATTGAAAGTAATTTTTTACTATTATTAGTACTGATTCCAAAAAAAACCTTTGTCCTGGGGGAACCAGCAAGAAACCCTGTGGGACTTTTTTTTGAAGTATTGTATACAATTAGTATGAAAACAGAAACAGCATGGTAGTGATCACCCCATTGCCAGGGGTTATTATCAATCATGTACACTGTTGTAGCATAATAAATATTTATTAAACAATTTTTGCTTGATAAAAATTTTAAACTTTTTGATAGATAAGGCCTGCATATTTTCACACACATTGCCCCATGATGGAATTACTGGCTGTATGGACTCGAGAAACTTGTAAACGTGAAACTAACTTATGCTTGTTTCTAGTATTTACAGAATGTACATCACTATTTTTTACATAAAACTATGTTTGTTCTTGTGTACATACCTTAAATTTTTATTTTATTTTATAATTACAAATAATTTTTTGTATAAGGTTTTTGGCGGCTCCGTGGCGCAGTGGCTTAGCAATAAGTCACAACGCTAAGGGCCGTGGGTTCGAATCCCGCACGGAACAAGTATTTGTATGGCCTACAAATAATTGTCCTGGATTTGGATCTTTATCCTTGTGAAATTTATGTATGTAAACTGACCCCACGATACAGGAGAAAATCCTAGTGTGGAGGTAACTTTTTTTTAAATAAAACTATCAAATATTTAATTCCTTATATTTTAGTATCAAACAACATTTTCTAACAATTTGCTTAGTAGGGAAGCAAATATAGTCTAGTATATGAATATCCTATATTAAAATATATAATTTTACAACATTTATTGCAAATTAATACATTGTAAATTCCAATTTGAAAAAGCTAATGTATAAATTAAACATTTTCAGATAAACAGACGAAATCGGATACTACCCTAAGAATTAGAAGTTGTTACAAAAGCATGCAAGAAAACTTAAGTTTCAATTAAAGAAGTCTAGAAAAACTATAAAAGATTTTAGGACTCGTCTATCAAATGCAGAATAAATGAGTAATCAAGTAGCATTTGAGAAGATCACCAAAAAGATGAAATTTGCAGCGAAGGTTTTGTTATAGCTGTTTAGAATCATTTAGTGTAAAAATATGTTTTCATATTTTGTATTGTCAAAACTGTTTATGAATCTTTTATTGTAAAAAATATTATTTTTATGCTTAGTTTTGTTATAGTTGTTTAGAATCATGTATTGTAAAAAATATTATTTTTGTAGTTTGTTTTGTTATAGCTGTTAAGAATAACTAAATAGATATATTGGTTTCATAATTTGTATTGTCTAAGCTGTTATGAATCATTTATTGTAAAAATGTTAGTTTGTGTGTTCCGCAGTAAGAATATCCACCAGTCCATATCATGCCGTGGGTGTCTTAAAACGACAGAAGGAAACAAATCAGAAGATTCTTTCAGCAGTTCCTTCCTAATAACGACTAAATTTAAAAGCTGTGTTTGGCAAGCCGCTTGCCAAGCGTTGCAACTACGGTAAATATCTCTCCTATGAGGCGATTGTCGAAGCTGTGTTCTTTAAATCACTTATTTAATTGAACAAATATTATTTCATATTTTCTATTGTCAAAGCTGTTATGAATAACAAGGGGCCAAGCCCTTTTTATCTTTTCGCCAGTTATTTTGCTGTGGACTACGGTCTAGTCTCAACCTCTAGTTCCTTTTCGGGCGGAACGCGTTGGTTGGTTGGCGCTCACTGCACACGGCGTTGCCGTGTGTGAAGCCGTGTGCCTCCCCCACATTTTTTTGAAAAGTGAGTGAGCGAAGTCCTTGTATCGGGTATTTTAATATAAATATTGTAAGCCTTTTCCAAGCGGGAAGGTATTAATTAATAATGAATAACGGCCTATATCTAGACCTTTAGAGATCAATGTATTGATTATTTGATCACGTATATTATTCATTTCAATATAGTTATATTTTATAAACGGCCATTTTATATATACAATAGAGGGGGCAGGGTTATTATAAAAATATTTCTTATTTTGTACTATCAAAGTTGTATTTATGAATCATTTATTGTAAAAAATATTATTTCATATTTTGTCTTGTAAAAATTTATTGATAGAGACATTAGTTTTTTTTTATAGGAGAGGGGGCAAACGAGCATGCGGCTCACCTGATGGTAAGTGACTACCGCCGCCAATGAACAACTGCAACACCAGGGAGGGAATTGCAGATACGTTGCCGACTTTTTAAACAGGAGTAGGCTGTTTCCTTGAAGGTCCCTAAGTCGTATCGGTTCGGAAATATCGCTGGTGGTAATCGATTCCACAAGGAAGTTGTACGAGGAAGAAAACATCTTCTAAATCGCACAGTGGTGGACCGCCAATCATCGGTGCGAAGAGCCGAGAGGGGCATCGACGGAAACCTAATATCCGTCCGGATGAGGTCAGCAGAAGGTCCAACAGGAAAGGTGTATAATCCTCCACATCTGGAATCCGCGTAGGCAAAGTAACCAGTTGTGTCAGACCATATGCCAAGGCATTTAATATTTTTTCAGTTTAATATTTTGTTATATCAGAGCTGTGTTTATGAATTATTTATTGTAAAAAATATTATTTTCACATTTTGTTTGTGAAAATTTATTGAAGACATTGGTTTAAATTTTTGTTATAATAAAGCTGTGTTTACGAATCATTTCTTGTAAAAAAATATTAGATTACCGTGTAGTGACGGTCTCAGAATATCCACACAACCCCATATTATCATCCCGTGGGTGTCATCGTAAGAGGTGACAGAGGGAAACACATCAGCAGGTGGACTGATCTTCCTAATAACTGCAGATGCCATCCCACTTGCCAAGCGTGGTTACAGCTTTGGATTGATACATAGCCGTTTAAGTTTACCGTTATGGTATTAGCTTAACATTTTGTAATGTTAAAGTTTGTTATGATTCATTTATTATAATAAACTCATTAATTTATTAAAATAATAAAATCTACTATTTTTTATGGACACTAGCTGTGTTACGAGTATTAATCTATTAATGATATAAACATTAGAATAAAAATATTAGTTTTATGTGTTGTATTGTCAAAACTATGTTAAATCTTTATTTATATCCTTTATTTTCATTAAGTTCAAAATATAGAATAATGTACCAATCATTTGTGTTTAATTTCATTCATGTTAAAAAATATCATAGTTAATTCCTATTTGTGTCGTTTAGAAACAAAACTGATCAAATCCAAAAATAAAAGTTTTGGAACAAAGTACACTATTTTTTTCTATAGAAAATCTTCTTTTTGTTACCGTTATCAAAAATAGTTAGATCCAAAGCAATTCGTAGAAAAATCAATTAGAAATCACTGCTCAGTATCAAAAAGAGTCAAATCCTTCAAAGTTTAGAAACGAAATCGGTCTAATCTGCGTCGACCAATCAGAAGCCAGAACTATGTATGAAAATGACAGTCGACAGGCGGCCATTTTGCGGAGTGACGAGCACATGGACCGTGTTTTTGTATTTACGTCGCTGTTTTTAATTAAAAGTTGGTGTTTAATAACATTAAAATGGACAGTTTAATAAAGGAAACTACTCCCCAGTTATCACGGAAAAGAACACAACAAAAAGAGGATTGGAAATGCAACAAATTGAAGAAGGAAAGGTATCTTTGTATTACTTTGATCACTTACGCTGCCCTTCATGGTCAGTAGTGCTAAACATTGTGTCATCTGTTGCGTAGAAAACTCATGTTTTATTGTGGATCAGCTACTAATAATTTTCTTTTTCTTGCAATTTCTTCGTTTTTTACTTATAATGGGATGGCTTGAAGTAGTAGGATAAAACCTACTGCGGTGAAAACCAGAAGGAGGGTTTTGTGTTTTACCAGTATAATAATTTTATTTACGTCCATTCTTATGTTCCCTCGTATCTTCTAAACGGCTGAACCGGTTTCGATAAATTATCGTCGTTAGATTCCTCTTGACGCAAGTGCCTCTAAAGACAAGGCATGTGGGCCTTTCTTACCCGTGGTCCACCTAACAAGTTCACCAGGGTGGACTATGGGGACTTGTTCTGACCCTTGGTACACCTGGGTGGACTGGGACCCATTGAACGTACTAAATAAAAATTTTTACGAATGGGTCTCATTTTTTGATAATATTTAATTATTTATTATTATTATTATTTTAGGTATACTCCAAAAGAGCCACCAAATTTAAGACTTCCATGTGACCACTACACCAAAGCATACAGGTGCACTTCATTGAATCATGCTGACATAATAGCAATGAATAAAGCTTTCTACAAAAAGCCGGACAAAATTTATCAAGATAATTTTATAATTAATCATACAAAAGTTACTACTACTCAGTGACATCGGCCAGTAAATCATCGTGGGAATAAAAAAGAAATGGCGGTAACGTATTATGCACGACGACGTCACAATGTTCCGATTCCAATTTGCAAACGCACATTTCTCTCTATTTTAGCATTGAAGAAAGGAAGAGTGACAGGTGTTCTTAATCGATATTTCAAAACCATGGGTGAATCTGCACAAGAAAATAGAGGAGGACGACGTAAAACACAAAAATACGCACCTATGAGGGAAGCTGTCAAAGACTTTATTAAAAAGCTTGAACCGTTAGAGATTCATTACTGTAGAAGTAAAATAAAAAGTAGGCAATACTTGTCATCAGAGCTCAGCATCAGTAAACTTTACAAAATGTTTATCGCACAGACCGCGAATGAACATAAAAATATTAAGGCATCTTACTTCAGAGAAATTTTCAAAACCGAATTTACATAAGGTAAACCGAACATAGGTTTTGGATCCCCTCGCACAGATATGTGCTCCACTTGCATAGTTTTACAAGAACGATTAAAACATGAAAAAAACAAAGAGGTAAAAAATCGATTGATGATTGAGAGTAGAATTCACAATTTGAGAGCCAAGGCGTTTTATAGTTTATTAAAAGACAGGAGCGAAAATATATTAATTTTAAGTTTTGACTGCCAAAAGAACCAACCATGTCCAAAAGTTCCAGATCAAAGTGCTTATTACTCGAGGCAGTTGTATGTGTACAATTTTACGGTGGTAATAGGAAATTCAAAATCACCATTAACTATTAATAACACATTCATCTACACATGGACTGAAGATGTTTTGCCGAAAGCATCGAATGAAATTGCTAGCGCTGTTTTTCATTGCTTGAATACCATTTTTCTGAGTCCTGGATTAGAGCATATCACACAGGTTCGTTTGGTAGCAGATGGGTGCAGCGGCCAAAATAAAAATCAATCTGTTCTTGGTATGGCAGCTAAATGGTTGCAACACCATGCACCTGCACACGTTATGGGCCTAGAACTTCTGTTTCCAGTTGTTGGCCATTCATTTTTGCCGCCAGATAGAGTTTTCGCAAAAATTGAAAAAGAGATTAAAAGTCGTGAGGTAATGACTAGCCCTGATGATTATTACGAAATTTTTATCCGTCATGGAACTGTGTATTACTTGGGGATTGATATTAAAGTTTACGACTGGAAACGATCTTCAGCTGAAGTCTTAAAAACTACAACAAATATGCACTTTTCAATAAAAAAATCGAAAAGATTTTTTCTTAAAAGGACTCGTGACAAACAAAATGTGTATATTCGAGCAGAAGAGTCTTACCAAAATACTTTAAATAAATATCAAAATATCTGCAAAGGAAAAAAGAAGGTTTCTGCTATAAACCCAGATGTGATCAAATTATATGTTGACATTAAACAAGAAAAATTAAATGATGTGAAGAAATTATTAATCACACATTTTGGAGAGAAATGGAATGAAATCTTAGATTTACGTTATTATAAACAAGTACTATCAAGACCTAAATCATCTACTGCTCATGAACAGGTTGTTGAAGACTGTGATTTCTCTGAAGAATTACCAGCTATAGTTGTTTAAGAAATTGAAATAAAGGTTTTTCAAATAAAGCAAGACTGATTTCAAAGTACTAGTTCATTTACATTTATTGTAACTACACAATCAACCCAAAATATTGAGAACCCCTGACATGATATTGTTTCAGCATCAAAATCAATCATATCCATGGTGTTAAGAACCAAACATGGTCAAATCCAACTACATCAATAACAAAACTAGTCAAATCCATAGTTTGGTTTCGAAATAGGTCAAATCCAAAATTCTATCCTAATTATTTTGATGTTTTAAGTTTGTAGTCATGAATGTTTTTTTTTTAAATCAATAATATCAACTAAGGCAAAGCCATAATGATTCAAACTCTATAAATATCTTGTGCAGGGAGATCAGAACGAAAAGTCGTTGATTCCCGTAAATACTCCCGAATGGATTTGACCACTTATGTTTCTAAACGACTCATTTACAAATTATGAATCACACTATGTATTAGGATTAATAATTGACAACCGACTGTTAAACATTTGAAGCATTTAGTTATTATGCAGTTATCTTTAAAAAATGTTTCAAATGTTTAATTCACAGTTGGTTGTTGATAATTAATCCTAGTACATAAACGTAATGAATTACCATGAACAGAGGTGTAAATGTAGAGGTGCATGATTATACGCACGCACACATTCTCACAATATTGTGGCGAAACGACACCAGACGGCGCTAGTACTCCTCGGTTGACAGATTTCGCACGAGTGGGCTCTCTTTTCCTGTATAGGACAATTACTATACTCTTTGGTATAATAACTGTCCTATACAGGAAGACTTATCAGATTTTTAGGATTTAATTAAGTTAATTTATCTCAAAAAATGTAATTTGACTAGCAAAATAAAGCACAATTCTACATCGACAAATACTTCTTTGTTCTTAATAACTGGCTTTACGGCTCTGGGGTCTAGCCCTTCTGAGCCTGAAGTTACAATATTATATTATAATAATTATTCTTCATAGTATACTGCTTCACAATATGTTGATGCGTCACATTGTGCAGCCCTTGGGAGATTTTGACGGCAACTTGAGCCAGCAGACAGCTGACGGTTAGCGATGGTATCTCAAGGCGCCCAAGCAGACAGGCACCTTATTTTAAGAATCATATCACTATCAGAGCACTTGTTTCACAGTTTCCACTAATAGTTCACATGCGCAGACACTTAATGCACAAAATCGCACCACTTTTACATATCAAAGTCCACTTAAAACCATTATTTAAACAATAAAACAGGAGCAGCAAACCGCCGCCGGTCAAGTTCCCGCCAAAACTCCACATCGACAAATAAGTTGTTAGAAATTAGCAGATTAGAAAACATTTACTTCATTCAAAGATGGTTTTCTTTGATTTACTTGAAAATGAAAAACATAGAGAAAAGTAGCTTGCTACATATATATTTATCTATGGAGAAAAGTAATACATCAGGAATGAAAAATTAAAACTCGTTTTCTTTTATAACTGGCTTTACACCTTTACAGCTCTGGGTCAGTGTTGCCAGACATTTTGAATGAACGATCGTACGATGGGTAAATAAAAAGTCGTTTGCCCTAAGAAGGTCATTAAATAAAAATAGTACGTTTTTTTAAACTTTGTTTTATTAAATTATACAAAAATAAAGAATTAAAAACACATTTAGTAGTCTTTATCTCCATATAAAATCTTACTGTTCATATTATTTAACATTTATCTTGATGGAGAAAAATCAACACAACGACCAAAGAGTTTTATATATTGTTTGGTTAATAGCGTGCCGTTCACAGTTTCAATACTGAGCCTATTTCGGATTTTTGTATTGAACTGAAGCACCGTTCACAATCCACATTAGAGTGAGGAAGGCATAGCAAATCGAGAGCAAATTTTGCTATATTCTGAAAGTCATCTAACACACATATTTCTGCCCAAAATTCGTCTGGCGGGATAGTCATATCAACTTAATAAAGAGCAGGGGTGATCTTCTCCACTCATCGTCTACATTTTGCATAATTTCTTCACTTACAATCCGAGGCACAATTTTCATTAGAGGGAACAAAGTATTTACTTTGTTTCTGTATGATTCTGATAAAGCATTGTTACAAAATGTGAAAAGTCGTATGAATTGCGTACGCTTTTTATGTTTCGATCATACATGCTTATAATTCTTAAAAAATCGTATGAATACGATTTAAATCGTACATCTGGCAACACTGCTCTGGGTTCTAGTAGCTTTTCTGAGCTTGAAGTTACAATGTATAATTATTATTGTTTATTGTTTATTATACAAAAAATACATTCGGTTATTTCTTACACTACTTTCGCCAAACTGCAGGGCAGTTTGTTGGCGAATACATCACCTACTTACATTCTATGTACCTACTGTAATTAATAACTTAATCTTAACTTACAACTTAAAATAGAAGAAAAAAAAAATAACAATAAAAAAATAGAAAAATTAAATTTAAACTTACCTATATACTTAATTATATTTAAACTTACACATATTTAAACTTATTAATAATTTCACATTTAACTATTAATTAAGACTACTCGTATAGTATTAACACGTATCTAGCAACCACGCTTTCAACTTCCTTTTAAATTTTTCTTTATTTTTACATTCGTCTTCAAATAATATCTCGTTAAAAATACGTGGTACTAGATATTTTCTCGTCCTCTTGCCCTAATAATTGTTAACCCTCAAATGCTCAACGTATTTCTTTCGAGAAGTAATTCTAATATTTTTGCTAAATGTCCGAACTGTTTTAAACTCTAGAAATTTTAATTGATCTATTGCAATTAAGTACTTAAGTTTTACATGTATAGGTAATATTCTAAAATTTTTAAATAAATTATTATAGTTTCCGTCAATGTTATATTTTTCTTTTGTTTTTTTATCAATAAACAATTTTATTAACATAACTTGTAGCTTAAGAATTTTATCTGTATATGTTTCAAAAGTACGTCCATATGCAATTAGTCCGTAACTCAGGGCTGAATCGGCTAGTGCATAATAAAGCATTTTTAAGTTTGACCTGCTAACTATATGTTTTAAGTTATTAAGCCTAGATAATATGGATCTTAATCTATCACATACAATGTTAATATGCAGTTTCCAACTAAAATTACAGTCTATTGTTAGCCCTAAGTACTTGTAACTATTCACAAATTCTATGGTTGTACATTTGCATTGTTCCAATTTATTATGTAAGCACTCGTACGAATGACCAAAGATATTTATTTCTTCACTAGGTTTTCTCATATATGGAGATTGGAGAAGCATACACTTTGTCTTGGATACGTTAAGTATAATGCCGTTGTCATGTGCCCATTTTAGTATACTAATGAAATCATCCTGCACCCTCTCCTCTATAACTTTCACGTCCCTGTCGGCGTACATTAGGCACGTGTCATCGGCGTACATATAGGTAGAACAATGTT